CTTTCCACAATTCATAAAGAATGCTTTTGTTTTCTTGTGGGGTATTCTATAAGAACATAATTAGCAGTACAATATTGCATTCCCCCCACAATTTCTGTGGTAAGCCTGACTTAGTTAACATGGCATTCAAATCATTTCTTTTAGGTTCATTCTTCCTTTCAGCAATTCCCATTTTTGTGGCTGTGGCAGAATAAAGGGGCTGTAGTTTGGATTGAAATTAATATGCCATGTTGGTGCAACAAAATTCATTTAATGGTGCATCATATTCACACACCCCTATCACTTCTAACCATTTTAATGGTTTTTAACCAAGTTGATTTTCAACTTCTGTTTTGTAGAGTTTAAACATTTCCTAAGGCTTCCAATCCTTTACTTCTAAGTAATAAAACATACAATATCTTGTGGCAATCATCGATAAATGTTATGAAATACTTTTTCGCCACCTCTAGTTTGAATAAAATTTTTAAATCCACATACATCAGTAATGAATTAATTTCTAAGAGGTCGCAGTTTTCTTTCAACCGATTTAAAATGGAGGCCTTATTGTATAGTTTCGCTTCTACACAAATTTCACATTTATGATAGCATTAATTTCAAACTTTGCGTATATAATCTAAACCAAATTAATCTAACGCAAAGCATCAAATTCACATGTCCTAAATCTACCAATGGCCATAAATTTGACTCAAAAGAATTATAAACAAAGATGTGTTATTTCTTAGTTTCATAGCAAACTTTCGGTACAACTGTCATTACATTCAATTAAAAGAGACCATCACTCATGTATCCCTTACCAAAATACATACCACTCTTTGTTAATACAAAATTTATCAGACTCAAATACAATGCCTAAACCATTTTCCACTAACAAAGACCCAGAAGACTAATATCTTACGGATGTCAGGTACATGCAGTACGTTGTTGAGGGTCAGTTCTTTCCCTGATGTCATCTTCAAAGATCACCTTCCCTTGTCCACCCACAGTAGAAGTAGAAGAATTTCCCATTAAAAAGTGTTCACACATTTGCTCCTCATTGTAGGATAGTGAACATTCTTCTTGCCGCACATATGTGACGAGTTGCTCCCACGTTGTCAACCCACCACTCTTGGGCATTTCCAACCAAGTTAGCCTCAGACACCACAGCAGAAAAGCGTTGATGTCATTCCTCCGTCAGAGATGTAATCCAATTCTGTTACTTGGCCTGATTGGTGGTCTTCTTACTTGTAACTTTCCATGATTCTTCTAGGTGGCGGCAGTCAGAGCTCGATGTTCCGTTTTGCCAACAGTTATAGCATTTTCCCTTTGAACTTTCTGCTACTATTGCCTTGTTTAGGACCATCTCCAGTAAACTTTTCTCTTTTGTTATGTGGTTTATGAAACTTGTTCAAACCACATTCTGCCTTGGACTCAATGGGATATTTTCCCATGTCCTCTTTTCAGCCTTTTTCGGTTATCTTCTTCAATTCTTAATCTTACAATCAATTCATCCATAGTCATCTCTTTGCGTTTATGTTTTAAATAATTTTTTGAAATCTTTCCAAGCCGGGTGGTAACTTTTCCACTAAAGCAGCGACTTGAAATGACTCGCTAAGAGACATACCTCTGAAATGAATATTCATGCAAAATTATTTGAAAACTTTTGAACTTGAGATATTACCGTTTGGGAGTCTACCATAACAAAGTCCAGAAATTTACCGACGACAAATTTCTTCGTGCCGGCATCTTCTGTCTTGTATTCTTCTCCAAGAATCCCACAATTCTTTTGCCTGTTTTCAGAGGACTGTATACATTATACATGCAAATTGTCCAAGCCATTTAAGGATGTAGTTTCTGCACAGGAAATCTGAATGTTTCCAAGCATCTACGAGCGGCAACACACTTGCCGACACTTTCACCCTCTTAAGTGCTAGAGCCTCTTCATGGAGAAACCGGGGCCAAATTAAGAGTTGTAAGATAGAACGCATCTCTGCTGCCATATCTCTTAAACTCGGTAGCCAATTAAATTTTTCTCCGTGTTTTTTCTCCATGATTGATTGTACATGAACATGGTTCTGGATAGGGACCGATGTAGGTGTAACAATAGGAGTACCAACTGCCAGATGAGTTTCAGTTGTAGTAGCCATAATCTCTGATTACAAAAATCAGAAAATATTAAAACACAAATTAATTTTCTAGTTACTAAAGCCAGAAAATAATTATAACAACAAATAATTTTTATTTCCTTTGTTACTAAAACTAGAAAATAAAATATCACAAAGAATTTTCTGTATTACCAAATAATATTCTGAATTGTTAATGACACCAGTTAATCTACTACTATAGTAGTTGTCAAAGAAAAGAGACAGTATATTACTACTATCTGTCAATAGCATAAATCACTATTTGTTTTTCCAACCAGAATATTAATTTGAAACACAGAAAATTAAATACAATGAAGATACCAAAAAGGGAATCTGTCTAAGATTGTAAGGACAATCTTCCACTGTATTTAAAAGATTTAATTCTATTGTGTACACAACAACAAATAGAATTTAAAGAAATAAAGAAAAAATGAGAGAATTTGTTTGATTACAAAAATCAAACTCGAAATAAAAATAAATAAATAAAAAACAGATTTTATTTTGTTACAAAAACAAAATTAAAATCTGATTTAAATAAATAAAACAACACTGAAAATAATTAAATAACTTACTTATTTAATTTCTTTGAATTATTTTCTTGATCAAGTCCACGTGTTTAACACTGTGTCCTTAAGACAGTTCGTCCTCTCCACGGTGCTTTCAAATTCGGAACGTCTATCTCCCAGGATGAAATGATCTACCACAAACAATAGCAGCTACTAATCTGTTGGCCTTACGAACACACTAAAGTGTTTACACTCTTTCTCTTCGGAAATAAAATGCAGCAAGATGAAAAATAGAATTAACAGAGGTGAAATAACGAAATTTCTCTGAATGCAAAATATCAAATGAGGGTGGTCCTATTTATAGATGTGAAGGTGGCTGTTGATTTTGAATTGAACAGGTATGTGGTCATTGGTTTTGAAATGAACAGGTATGGATACCTGTTGGGTTTTGAATTCAAACAGATTCAACAATTCAAACAGATAGCAATTACGGGAAGGGCCCCTGTTTGGGTGTGCATTAATTCCAAACAGTTTATTTCTGTTTTGAAACCGGGAAGGGCCCTGTTTGGATGAACAAAAAAATCCAAACCAATTTAATTTGAATTCTGGATTTTATTTTAATAAAAAATAAAAATTAAATTCAAATGTTTTTGGCCCAAAAAGATTAGAAGCCCACACACCACGCACCCGCGCCAGCCGCCGCCCGACCGACCGGACGGCGGCGGCGGCGCGCGCGTGTGGTGGTTTTTTGAGTCCAATGGGTCTAGCCCATTTTGCCCATAATCTCTCCCTCTAAAACACTTGGGTACCCTTGGGGCACACCCCAAGTATCTCACCCTAAGCCCTTATAAACCCTTTCAAAACTTCCTACCCAAAATCAATGTGGGACAAGCCAATTACAACCTTAAGGAATTTCCACCAAAACTCCATTTCCATGGAGCACACTTTGGTTCAATTTCCCATTCACGTCGTAATGGTTTTGAGCAACCAAAATATACCACGTGAATCACAACGCGCATAGAACGCGTACCACTTTGACCCGAGTAAATCGACACTCGGGGCCACCTAAAAAATAGACCTAACTTAGGAAAAAATTTCTGGTTTTATCCAGAATTTTATAACCATTTTCCAAACAGTTTGAACTCCATATTTTGCAAGGCTACCATCCTCTTAGTTTGTTTGTTTGTTTTTATTTTTATTTTTATATGCTTGAACTGAAAGGTTTGGTCTTACTTTAGAAAATGTTATAAAAGGGGTTCCAAGTTCTAGAACATTGTGAAGCATCTTGCTTTATCATTTTTCGTTATCAAGAATATAGCATTGCATTATAGAAGATTTGATTAAGAACAATAGGTTGTTGGACTGACCTGAGTAACTTCTTAGTTAGCCTGTTCACAAGGGCTTTAATGAAATGTAATAATTCTTTGGTTTAATTAATTGTTTAACTATTGAAACTAGTCTATGTTTTTTTCCCTTTAATTGGATTGATCAATGGAATGTTAAAATTGTTCTTTCTTCCTCTTAATTGCATCTTGCTTCTTATTTTATTTTACGTGACAATGGGATCTAGACCTTCCAATATTCATATACGTAAGCATCACCCATTGCTTCTACAATATATAAAGGATATAGCCTTGCCTAACAGTTAGTAAAAAAGTTGAGAGTAGATGTCAAAAATGAGAAAATATGTAAATGTGTAGCACATCCAATTTGTAAGGAGAAAATGCATAACATCTTTGTCCTATATTTTTGTTGGATATGTCGTTTTATATTTGAGCAACTGGTGGTTGTTATTTGCTGTAAACTCTTGATTGTGATGTGCAAATCCATGAGTCTTCTTTGTGGTAATTGAGGCTTCTTTGTGGCATTGATTTGGATTAGGTGAAGTCTTCTTTTATTTTGAAGGAGGAGGTGTTGTCTTATTAATTATTTATGTTTAAATTTCTTTCTTTCCCTTATTTAAAAGAAAATTATAGATTGATTAGTCAAAACTTCCTGTTTGGCTTTGAAGCTAGAAAAAACTAGCTTTCAGGTACTGTGAGAGTGGCAGAGGTTTGGGCACCGTCTAAGATTTCTGAGGGTCTGCTTGTTTTATTCTTTGATTTAGTAGGGTGTGGGGTGGTTGTGTTTATCACTGTTCAAATTTTTATTCTTTGATGTAGTAGGGTGTGGGGTGGTTGTGTTTACCACTGTTCAAATTTGTACCATCTCTGGATGACTATGAATCTACACTGAACCTACAGTAGCGAAGATTACAAATACCAATTGCAAAAAACCCACCGTCACAATTTTTTTTTTTTAAAAAAAAAAAATCAACATGTATTCAATTTTGAATTTTCACTAACCCAGACTTTTATTTTGTCCTCCTTAGCAGGTATAGCCATTCGGATTGGTAGGGTCCTTGATGTGGTGAAGCAGTTGGAAAACACCTAAGCTTGTATGGACAAAAGGTAGGTCTAGATGCACGAGGAACTAAAATCTGTGTAAGTGACATAGAATGAATTGACCAAAAAAAATGTAGATACTCCTCATGAGGATGGAGGACAAGGTAAGGATGAGGAACACGAAGAAGAGTTGGGAAGACATGAAGATGATGATGATGAGGGAGATGAAGAAGAGTTGGGAACGGAAGATGTTGAAGACGGAGATGAATTTTTTAAGGAGCCTTGACCTTGGCCTTTTCATTGTTTTTATAGTTGAATATGTTGACGGGTTTTGTGGTTGTCCCAATTTGTTTATGAACATTTTTTTCTTACTTTCAGGAGTTTAGTATGATATGTTTCGTGTATACAAAAAATTTTATGGTTGGTGTTTTGGTAAAATATGACAACACCAGGTTGTTTATTGTTTGAAATATTGTAGTAAATTGCCTTTTTTTTCCTACTAAATTTTTGAAAATTGTCAATGAAGATAAGTTGTTTGATGTTTGAAATATGATGTATTGTGCTTGATGTTTAATTTATTGAATAGTAATTTATGAGGAGATTGTGAATGATACAGTTTGTTGACTTCAGACCTTGTTATTATAATCATTTCTAATTTGTAAGCCCATGGACTGACTAAACACTCAAGATTTTGGCTTTTAGTTTTTATTTGGATTATGGCCGATGGATTGGCCAATTGATTTTTATCAAGGTAGTGCATTTTCCAATCAATTTGAAAATTGATTGGGGACTCATTAGTCAATCAATTCTTGCAAGAAAGTGGAAATACCAATCGATTGGCCAATCCATTTTCGAGCCCATGGCCATAACCAAAAAAAAAAAAAATGCCGAAGTTTGGCTTCCTCGTATAATTTGCTTGAATATTGTTTACAATCGATTCATAGTGAATCTATTTGGCACTAGGTATGTTACAATCTCATAATCAATTGGAGCAAATTTGTATTGTTTAAACTTGGCTGGCAATGGTACACAATCAATTGTGCAATCAATTGCTCTATACTCTTGCAATATGGATGCATTCTGTGCTGAATAGATTGGCATCCATAATCAAATTTACAACCATACACATCAATAAACTACACATACATGGATTACCAAAATCAAATTTACATCCACATTACATCAGCCATAAAAGAAGCCATCCAAATTACATCATGTTTATACAAAAAATGGTCACTGATCACTTTTGGTGAAGGGGTTAATCATCCATGTCCATTTGTTGGCCTTTAAATCATCGTTGGAACCCTCACCTCCATCAAATTTCTCCTCACTATAGGAACATGAAATGGCCCCATCCACATATAAATCATCAAAAGTATATGCTTCATTATGAAGGTCAACATTAGGAAGGTAAGGATATTGTTATCGCGTCACGGACCAAATATCTAAGATTTTTGAGATGGGATACATGCTCTCATTAGAAACTAGACACATTTTTTTGTTCTTGTTAGAAACTCGATCTTTATAGCACATTCTAGGCAACTTTTGTCTAGAATCATATATTGCAGAAACTTCCTTATACTGTTTATCTACAACAATCCGATTGAAGTGAATAAAGAATTGAACAATGTTATGATCACCTTTTCAAATATCCCCTTAACGTTCCATTCAAACTTTCACTAAGTTGTGTGCTTCGCATTCCTCCAGTAAATACCCACTTCATGTACATGTGCGCCCATTGCTATTTTTTTCTCCAAGTTCTTTTCATCCACTCATTCTCTTGCAAGCTGTATTTATCAATCAAAGAATTCTAAGCTTCAATTAATTCATGCTCATTCTCATAGTCATAATGCAAGCTTTTAAATTGCTACTAAATTTTGAACCAAAAAAGAAAAAAGAAAAATGGTACCGTTTCATAGAATGGCAGGCATGGCAGCAAACAAGGGGTCACTACGGTCCATCATTCCCTGCTGCTGTGCCTGCCATGCTATGAAACGGTACCATTTTTCTTTTTTGTTTTTTGGTTTTTTATTTTTATAAGAGTTACATTAATTCTTATTTTATTATAACAAAACAATCTATCTACCTGTCGCCATCTTCCCTACCCCTCGAGCAAAAGGTCCCTGCTTTACATGGAGTAAAAAAAGCTAGCTATTTTTTTATTATTTTTTATTTATACATTTTTGTCTTCTCTCAAAGGGATTGAATGGTGTTCTCTGTCTTTGTTTCACCGTCCTTCTCTCGGATTTACGGACCATTATTGTTCAACAAACTGGTATGTATATCTCTCCCTCTATATATATATGTATGTATGTATGTATATATGTTTCGTATTTTATTTTGTATAGTGTATTAGTGGGTTCAACAAGTATAATGGTTTGGTTTGTTTTCTGTGAATGGATTGAGAAACACAATTGTATATTATAAGAAAAATTATTTATTATGTAATTTTTGTATAAAATGTTATGTGTTTTTGTAGCAATGTTATGCATTTTATGGTCTAAAAAAAGTTTCAATAAAAAAATGTATAACCTTACTACAAAATACGAATTTAATTTTTTAATCATAAATTATCATAACCAAAAAAAAAAATGACATAAGATTTGTGACAAAAATACGAAATATATACCAAAAAATTATATAATAAGAGGGCATATGGTTCACATTTTAAGTGTGTCTGCCAAAGGGTTCCCTATATTATATAATATACTAATCCTAATATTATTTTGCAATTGTATATTATAGACACAATAAATTTCCAATGCTATTGTACTGGATTTCCGATGCTACTGTACGAATTACACATCTTTTTATTCCTCTTCACTATCCTTTAATTAATTTACATTATTAATTGATTTATTTGATTTTGTTGAATTGTTTAATTACTTAACATTTGAAATTAATTTATAACTTTTTTGCTCAAATTCTTGTTTTGTTTAATTTTTTTCCTTTCATATTTGTTAGTGTTGAAATGGAGGATGGTATAATGGATGATGGTGGACTTGAGGGATGTATTGAAGAAATGAGAGAGTTGGTCAAGGATAAATCACCGTATCTTGATATGGAGTTTCCATCAGAAGAAACTGCATATGAGTTTTATAATGAATACAGAAGAATTATGGGGTTTGGTATTAGAAAAGATTATTGTAACAAAAGCAAGAAAGATGGTGCTATGACTAGTAGAAAGTTTGTTTGCTATAAGAAGGGAGAGAGGGAAAAAGAAAAACGGTACACGATGATAAAAAATCCTCGAAGTGAGACAAGAACAAATTGTAATGCATTCATGCATATATCTTTTAAGCAGGACTTGTCGAAGTGGATTGTGTCAAAGTTTGATAACAACCACAATCATCTTTTGCATCTTCCTCAATGTATTCATTTGATTTCATCCTAGAGAAAGGTATGTGATGCTCAGGGTATGAATATTGATATAGCTGATGATATTGGAATATCTCTTAAGGCATTACATGATCTTATTAGTGTTATAGTAGGAGGGAAGGAATTTGTAGTGTTCATGCGGGAGGATCAGAAAATGTACTTACGTGCAAAAAGACAGCGAAACTTGCAGTACGGTGAAGCAGGGAGTCTGTTAAGATATTTCTAGCAGCAAGTGGCAGAAAATCTATATTTTTACGATGCCAATCAATTGGATGTAAATGAGATGATTACTAATATTTCTTAGGCTGATCATCAGATGACAACAGATTATGGGCTTTTCAGTGATACTGTGTCATTTGACACAACTTTTTGAACAAGCTTTTTGAACAAATAAGGAGTACCGTCCACTTGCTTTATTTTTTGGCTTTAACCACTTTAGAATGACAATGATTTTGGTGCAACATTATTGTATGATGAAACTGCAAAGTCATTTGAATGGTTATTTGAAACTTTTTCGGATGCAATGTTAGGAAAAAAGCCTAATAGTTTTTTCACAAACCAAGATCAAGCAATGGCTAAGGCAATTTCACAAATCATGCCTGGGGTTTTTCATGGGTTATGCACTTTTCACCTAATGCAAAATGCTTTAAGCATTTAGGTTACTTGTTCAAGAGTGGTTCAAAATTTAGTAGCGATTTAAAAGCTTGCATTTATGGCTACGAGAATGAGCATGAATTAATTGAAGCTTGGAATTCTTTGATTGATAAATACAACTTGCAAGAGAATGAGTGGATGAAAAGAACTTGGAGAAAAAGAGAGCAGTGGGCGCACATGTATATGAAGTGGATATTTACTGGAGGAATGCAAAGCACACAACTTAGTGAAAGTCTGAATGGAACACTAAGGGGATATTTGAAAAGGTGATCATAACATTGTTCAATTCTTTACTTACTTCAATCAGATTGTTGTAGATAAGCGGTGTGAGGAATTTTTTGCAATAAATGATTCTCGACAAAAGTTGCCTAGAATTTGACTTATTTCATTATGAGTTGGATACATCCCTTTGTTGTCAAGTGAAGCAATTCCATGAGTTAGAAAGAGAAGTTAAGTGCGTGATTGGCTTGTATGGTAATGATGAAGAGTATATTGTGGTGGGTAGGATGGAAGTTACCGGGCTAAGAGGAGAAAAAAGCTGTCAAGAAATACGTTGTTCTTGTAAGAAATTTGAGAACTTTGGAATTTTATGTAGTCATGCAATCAAAGCACATGATAGAATGAACTTTATGGAAATTCCCGAAAGGTATATATTAGGTCGATAGAGATTGGATGCAAAAGATTGCGAAGTTGAAGATGAAAATGTTATAGTGGATGACGATGATCCGAAGTTGTTAATATTTGCACGTTACAGAGATCTTTGTCCGAGAATGGTGAAACTAGCAACTCAATCATTTGTGCACAAACTTGCCTATCAATTGGTTGATGAAGGGATTAAGGAATTGCGTGTAAAAGTGAATAATATGATAAAGGGAGTTGGAAATTTTGATACCAAAGAATTAAATGTGAATGACCCCAACTTTACACAAGTTAAAGGCATAAAGAAGAAAGATGTTGGATACAAGGGGAGGGTTAGATTAAAACCTTGGCATGAGATGATGAATAAGAAGACAAAAGTTATTTCACAACCTGCCTTAGTAAGGTATTACTTACGTACTTTTGAAATTTGAAATGACATGCATTTATTTTTATAAATTGTGTAAACTATTGATAACTTTTTGAACTTCTTTAGACTATTGGTCAACCAAGCAACACTACAAATGTTCAAAATTCATCTTTAAGCCAACCACACGTTAGCTATTGTTTTATGTTATTTATTTATTATTATTTTTTTTTTATAAATTGTGTAATATATTGATACATTCTACAACCTCTTTAGACTATTAGTCAATCAAGAAACACTACAAATGTTCAAAATTCATCTTCAAGACAATCATTG